GTCCTGAAGGAGAACGTACGGTTCTAGTTTGGTTTGTAGATTAAAATCATTAAAGTCAGATTATTTTTGTTTGATGTTGACTTCTCTTTGATCTGAAATGTTTCAATGTGACATAAACAGGTTTATTTTGTTTCCTGGACAGAAAGTGACCTACAGGACCAAGCGGCCGGTCTTTGACCTGAGGGCCATCGCGGAGGTGGAGGGAGCCGGAGTGAAGGCCGGGAAGCACGCAGAGTGGAGGGAGCAGATCATCGTCCCTCCTCTTCCTCAGTCGGCGCTCGCCGGCTGCAGCCTGATCGACGTCGATTATTTCCTGCAGGTCAGAGCGAGGCAGGTGTTTTAAAAAATAAATAAATAAATAAAACGTTTTAAAAGTCTTCCTGGTGAATCCCTCAGGTGTCGCTGAAATCCCCCGAGGCCGTCGTCACGCTGCCCATCTTCATCGGGAACATCCCGGTCAACCCGTCGCCCTCCATGCCCGTCCCCGCCGGTCCGGACCCGGCGCCKGACGTGACGCCGAGTGCCCCGCCGGCGGAGGACGACCCCGAGGAGGGCGAGCTCTGCGCGGGGGGCTTCGCCAACGAGGAGCTCCCCACCAAGAGCCACTCCCAGCAGGATCCCTCGGTGCCGCCGGCCACCATGTCCCCCAGCGCCTTCAGCCACGCCCCCGGCGCCGCGCTGCCGCCGGGCCGCAGCAGGCCCGACGCCTCGGCGCCGCTCTTCTGCCTGTCCACCGGAGCCACCATCCCCTTCTTCTCCGAGGGAAACGCCACGCCCATCCCCACTTCCTGTTCGCTCATTCTGCCTCCGGAGTACAGCAGCTGTGATTACCCTCAGGGTAAAGATTTTTGAACTAACTGCTGGACGGAGGAGGGTGAGGGCCTCACTGCTAATAAGTTGTTTTTTTCTGAGTTCTGACTTTAATCTCAGAATTATGAGTCTAATCTCATAATTATGACTTTACTCTCAGAATTCTGTTGGAGCAAAAACATTTTTTAACCATTTTTTTTCTCCGAATTATGAAATTAGAGACAAAACTCAGGGAAATTTTTTTTTTCCTTTGTGGCCCTAATCCTCTTCCGTGCTGCTGACTAATAGCAGTCGATTRCAAAAAATGCTGAGTCATCATTTACACAATAATCCTATTTTAATCCTAAAACTCCTCGTCTTAAATCTCGGTCTGATTGTCACTTCCTGTGTCTGGCAGAGCCGCCGCCGACGTACGAGGAAAGCTGCAGCAGCGTGAGCYCCAGCTTCACCAGCGGACAGTAGAGGAGGAACGCCGAGGCTCCGCCCACTTTTACCTGTCTGAGCAGGTCCGAACACAAAGCTGCTGGATGGAAACGGGCGGTCGGCGTCGATCTCAGACACTGAAACAAAGGATCTTTGTTTTTTTAAGATCTTTGATTTCGYCTCGTGGGTCGGACAGAACTTCACTGTGCCTCTGTTTACCTGGACCGCCTGCGTTCAGGACCTTCTGCTGACCAGARGAACATGTAGCACCAGTCGACCCCCCACGGTCCGGTCGACCCCCCTCGGTCCGGTCTTTGTGTTGGCGTAGACCAGAGTCAGGTCCTTGTCTGACCTGATCTGGGTCAGATACGAAGAGGTTCCACATGAACAGGACGATGCACAAACTGAATCTGAGACCTGTRGTCTGAGGGGATCCAGCAGGACCARCAGGAACCACTAGATGCAGATCTGTGCAAAAGTCTTGAACCGCTTTGCTTCATGTTTTCTTGTTGAAGTGGTTTAGATCAGCAGTTCTTCAGACTTTGATCCAAGTCCAGAGGAGTCCAGGACTCCTTTGACCCAGAGTTCAGGCTTCCTAAAACCTGAATCCAGGCCTCTTCTGACCCAGGTCCAGGTCTAGGTCTCTGTTAGTTAAATCAGGGCCCGTATTTATCAAACTTCTTAGAGTGGATTTTTAAACAAGTGCTGAAAATGTCTTAGATTTGCTGCTACTGTCAGACTTAAGTGTTTTTGCCAGTTATCAAAATTCTTAAGTCTAAGAATCACTCTGACTCAAGATAAGTTCAGACTCCAGAGGACTCTTAATGGTCCAGAGTGGCCACTAGAGGTCTGAGATGGACTGAAGACAGAGATTACAGCTGTCCTCCTCCCCACCTGACTGTGATTCTCAGTTATAAGGTGGAAAACAGGTTTAATCAAAAATACAAAAGAAAGAAAAGTAAAGAAAAACATAAAAACTGCTGATAATGTTTGACAAAAAGGCAGATATTTGTGACCCATCACATCGAAACGAGGATTAAGTCCAAAAGTTGTTTATGGAGAAATAGGCAAATGTAATGTTTTGACTAAAATGTTAACAAAAATTGCATTTTGTCAAAAATATAATGAATAAAAGCCTTATTAATGTATCATTTGAATGAACTGTCTGAAATATAATCATAAAACAAAATTATGAAGCACTTTTTTG